GCCTGTCCTCTGTCACAGGATGACACTAGTGACTGTTCCATTTGTTTCCAGACCCATGCAGCTCTAAATGGGGAACTCTTCTTCCCTGTGCTTGCAATTAGTTCTTGTGAAATTTGCTCAGCCCACGTGGCTCCACCTCATTAATTTATCTCCTGAATTATCTGAAGGAAAACTGTTCTTTAATTGCAGCCACAACTCCTGTTGTCATAGCATGTTGGGAGAGAAAAGCTTGTTAAATAAGCTCCAGTGAATAAACTTTCCCAGCAGTCTGGAAGGCTAAAAGGAGGTCAAAAGAGAAGACAATGAGATACCTGTTAATTCTGGATGTGACAAAACTCTTGCAGAAGTGAACGCTTCAGAGCAGATTAAAGGAGCTTCAGATGATACATCCCTAGTGTCTTGTAAAACAGAAGTGATCTGCTGTCAGTCAGTGAGGCTCTCGTGTTCCTTGTCACGTCCCTCCTGACTGTACGGCTCCTGAAATTGCCATGGGCCTATAGAGCTGACTTCGTGTCCTGTCCTTGGAAACCTCAGGCGAGTGAGGTATGATGCAGCCTGTGACATTCTTCATGTAATGAGGTGCTTGTGAAATTATTACCTCTAGCTGAAATGATTAGCTGCTATAAGTGGCTAAAAAAAAGTTTTATGCTGAGTATTGTAGACCTGAGAATAAATTTTTAAGAAACTGTAAAAGCAGGGAGAGATGATGGCATTCTCTCCTCCCTGATGCCGTCTCACAAAAACTTTACCTGTTAGGAAGGCATAAACCACGTTATAGTAAGCTGAATTGCTCTCCCTCTATATAAATATGCCAGTGGTGCTTACCTACAGGTGGGTACTATGGCAATGCAGACTAACCAAATGGTTCCTGTTGCATTGCTGAGTGCATGGGGCAGTGTGTTGTGTGATGTTGCGTCTGAACTTACTCTGATGTGGCACCACGGGGGGGGGGGGGGGGTGTGTGCTGTGTTTTTGTGTATGTTGTTTTTTTTTTTAAAAGGAAGTTGTGCTTTAAAGTATTTTGGAAAACCTGTAAAGAAAAATTTTCATGATCTTGCTGCTTGTCTAGTTTCTTGATTGAACTAAGGGCTGGCTATGAAAATATGTCATGAAGAAGTAATTCTGTTCTCAAGTTTCTGCTTGGGTTTTTAGGAAGAAGTTGGTAGGTGCTAAATGTGTCCTTGAATCCTTCAGATAAAAAAAAAGTATATATAAATTGTCGTGCCTGGGTAGACATACAGGATTAGGAAAATAATGCCCTCCATATGAAAGTGTGCGCATAAGAAATGTCCAGCTGTTATGCAACCAAAACTTTCATGGACTGAACTACAGGGCCAAAGTCTTAGCTGTGTTTACAGAAATGGAAACCCGATCAGAACTGAGAAGTTATTAGAAAGGTGTGAGTGATTTCAGACAAGATGTTTCTTTTTAAATTCTTCCAGATGTGGCAATAAATGTTGTTAAATACAGACATTGTGTATGTCTGGGTATGTAGAACACATCCGAACACTTCTCTGAAGCTGTTGATTGTATATCACTTTGCATTATAGATCTTGTATCAAGAATGCCTCTGGGCACCAGCAACAATTCAAGATGAAAGGAAAAAAACAGCAGTTGCAGATTGCTTAGTTACAGTGCTGCTTGCAGACCACGGAGGGATTATCAATCTTGTTTACTAATCCAAGAGGAGAAGGAATATTCAAGGAAAAGCAGCTATGCCAATACTGTATATGGCCTCTGCTCAGTGCAGTAAATAAAACCTGCGGGTTTTTGTGTCCCTTTGTGTGGATGACTTTGCCAAGGAGAGAGGTTAAGAGAGCCTGGGACTAACTCCTCCTTTCTTGCAGGATAGTATGGTTATTGTAAATAACCCTGCCTGAGTTGAAGAAGCCAACACACAATATCTTTTGGGGAGCACTGTGCGGGCCCATCCCTGTAAGGTCTGTGCTGTTCATCACGAGGCAGCTTGGTACCAACATGCTCAACAGCCTCTTCCACTAGCTTCACTCAAGAAATCTAAGAACTTCTCCTATTTGTAGCTTCTTGTGTTGAGGAAGTCTTTATATGTGCTCCTTCAGGTGCTATGAATTATAAATAAGGCAAAGAGTTAGAGACTTTGGCATTAATTCTGGGTGAGCAGGAGCCCTGCTGCTGAGAGAAGGCAGAAACTCTGATGTGTAAAGCCTCATAGGAGACAAGAACTCAGTCCCCACAGGGAGTTGGAAAGCCTTGGCTGCTGAAGGAATTATCCAGCTCTAGACCTGATATGAAAAATAGCCAGCAGAGCTGTCAGTCTGTGCTTCCAAACAAGCAGCGGAGCTCTTTTGTCTAGGAGGGTGGTGATCCCTGAAGAGTGCTGGCCTGTGCTCCCTCTTCTGTACTTTGTGGGAGGAGACAGTCTCCTGCTTTCCACAGGACTTGGGCAGAACAAAAGCAGAGGCGTTGTTTTTGCGGAGGAGTTCAGTACCTTGCCAGGACTCCTGCTGCAGGTGAGTTACGGGCACAAGGTCAGCTGCTGCCCATCAGGCTGTTGAACTCACACCTGTGCTGTTCTGAAGACCTGTATCTCTGGCAATGCTCTCCTTCCTCTCCCACCACCAGGACTTTTGCACCTGTAAAATGAGAATAAGTACAAGCACTTGTTCTTCTGTAATTGGTACAAAGAGACAGCACACTGCAACCTCCCCTCGGGATATTCCAGTTTCCTGGAACATCTGAAACTTGCTCCTTCTGATCCTTGCCGGTCCCTGTGCAGCCACTGTTGGGAAATGCTGCTCTGAACATGCAGGTGAGGTGGCAGACTGCAAGCTGTGGTACAAGGCATCTCCTGGCATCTAACAATGTCCAGGCTTAAAGTTTCTTTCTTAATCCGTCTGTCCTCTAGGCTGTGGTCTCTAATAATTATGTGATGTAGAGGCATGTTATAGAAACCTACCCTGAGTTCAGAAGAAGGACCCCAGCAGAGGAAGTAAAATGCTGTGGGCTTTTGGGGTTAAACCAGAGTATTTGGCCTGTTAGCATTTGCTAG